CCCCCCCCCCCCCCCCCAAACCCACCATTTTTGGATCTCAGGTTTGAGAACTTATGAGAAGCTGGTCACCATCTTATAGCATTTGAATTATAAGTGGAAGGATGATTATCGGGTTCTTTTGTAAATAGATAACAAGTTTATCCACCATAAATGGAAATTATGGCTACTAAAAAATCGTGTCATACTAAAGTTAAACCATGTATAAATTATGTCTACTTAAAATTAACTATCTGTGTATAGCCAAATTTGTGGAATGTTTGTATCGGATATAAATAATATTTAACGTGTTCTTGTTGTACAATAAACCATTGTATGTAACTATAAAAAGTTGTGTTGTAATTTTTCTATATTGAGTGTACAAAACTTAGTATAAAAAAAAAGTGTATAATACTGGACTTTGATTAACAAAAACAAAAGGAAAACCGATGAGAATGATTGTCTTTAAACCTTTGTTCTTATCCCAAGTATACTCTAAAACAACAGCAACAATGATGGAAAGTAAATACCCATCATTTAGAAGCTTTATACAAGTCAAACTGACAGAAGGCAACAAGGAATTAAAATGTTTTTTAATTCAGAAAGGGACTAATAAAGTTATAAACTCACATATTTTAAATTCAAAATTTAACAATTTACTTGGGATCAGACATAAATTCTTCATGAATTTTTTAGTTTCGGTGTACATGACTTTCATCTGATCAAGAAAAANTTAAAATTTAACAATTTACTTGAGATCAGACATAAATTCTTCATGAATTTTTTAGTTTCGGCGTACATGACTTTCATCTGATCAAGAAAAAAAAAATTAGTCAAAGTATATATAAGTAAATCCGAATATCTTTCACAAAATTTCAAAAAATAAAAAAGTTACCTTTCTTTTCACCAGAAGTTTTGTACACTCCAAGATACGTTTTGTACACTCAAACCCAAACAGCCTCTTGTTGAATTAGGCTCATCACCTTTTGTCTTCTTTAGGGAGTGTTTGGGTGCAGTACCATACTAGTGGTAATACTTAACAAGGTGCAAGGCCACTGTGCTGAAACTAATTCTATGTTTGGAGTAGAAGTTGATGTGTGATATTAATTAATTAAAAAAGAAAAAGGTCCAGTTATAGTATCGAAAATATTTTTTGGTATCTGATAGGACATTTCCGGAATACTCCAAGATAAAAACACGTGTTCTCGATGTCACTGATCCTTGTTATCGAGATCACGTACCCATCGGGTCACAAGTCCCCTCTACCCCAAGGTACTTATCATGGGATCGAGTGGCATCCAGTACGTTTTTGTGTACCGACACGTACCCTTGGTCTGATATGGTACATCGGTCGCTAAGTCTCCCCCTCTCGGATTCAAGATGTACCTATTCCTCGGTTTCAAGATGTACCTCTTCCTCGGCTCCGAGATGTACTTCTTCCTCGGCTCTGAGATGTACCTCTCCCTCGGTACCGAGATGTACCCCTCTGATCCAGGATGAAGTTCTCTGCTCCAACAGAGGCTATTGATGCACTGGTCACTAGTCTAAGCTAGGCTAGGTTAGCTATCATGACCTCGTCTTACACAATCGATGTCAGAAGNTTTAATTAATTAAAAAAGAAAAAGGTCCAGTTATAGTATCGAAAATATTTTTTGGTATCTGATGGGACATTTTCGGAATACTCCAAGATAAAAACACGTGTCCTCGATGTCACTGATCCTTGTTATCGAGATCACGTACCCATCGGGTCACAACTCCCCTCTACCCCAAGGTACTTATCATGGGATCGAGTGGCATCCAGTACGTTTTTGTGTACCGACACGTACCCTCTGTCTAATATGGTATATCGGTCGCTAGGCCTCCCCCTCTCGGATTCAAGATGTACCTATTCCTCGGTTCCGAGATGTACCTCTTCCTCGGCTTCGAGATGTACCTCTTCCTCGGCTCTGAGATGTACCTCTCCCTCGGTACCGAGATGTACCCCTCTTATCCAAGATGAAGTTCTCTGCTCTAACAGAGGTTATTGATGCACTGGTCACTAGCCTCGGCTAGGCTAGGTTAGCTATCATGACCTCGTCTTACACAATCGATGTCAGAAGACACAGCAAGACAGGGGTCACAACCAATGAGGAATGGACGCGTGGCATATTGTGTCCAATCAGAGACAAAAAGACCGCATGGCCTTGCTGACACGCGACTTGGGAAAGCAAGCATTTAATTACGTCATTCCCTTGACGAGACTGCATTCAATGCGGTAAGGCTCAGAAGTGAAAGACAATAAATGCCTATAAAGCTGGACATTTATTGCGTCCTCCCCGAGGGGAGCTCATTGAACAGTCGGCAGACCGATGACACAGTATTGATTACTCGGGATCCCGACCA